TCTTGCACATAGATATGCTAGTCGTGCAAGAAAGAAGGAAAACCAAGCGCGCCTAAGTATGAGACAAACACGCGGACCCTTGGGAACACGAATGACTGATAAAGGGAGAGCATCTCGCCACACTCTAATCAAAACGGGTTAATGAAGAAAAGACGGGGGTGTGAGCTAGCACGTGAACTGATAGAGTGATACACGATCGAAAGGGAGTTCGAACTGTCGAGAAAAAGAAAGAGTCAAACTAGTGTACACACAGGATGGGACTTGTTAGAGGCAAGAATAAAGCACGCAAGGGAGGCAAGCAGAGAGTTTGAGCGATCAGGCATGTCATATGTCGATCACCAATCGGAAAGGGGACCATCTTCCGAACTGCAACGTTTTGCGGACCCGGGTTGAGCTAAAGTGCGAACAAAGGGGTATGTGAGAATTTGAGTAGAGCCGTACATGATACGGGTTCACTAGGGTGCAGTTGAACGCAAAGTGGCTTCAATGTGACCATGCGCTAGTGAAATTGACTGCAACTATTATCAATAAGGGAGTAACGAGACGCCAAGAACAAGGGTCTATATGCGGACTAGATAAGTGACACGGAATAGGACTGACATAAGAGATGATGAGACCGATGGTGAAGGAAACAGGTCAGGGGTTCGACTAGGACCACCACGCAAAAGTTCGGACTAGCCAGCATTAACCGAACTCCGGGTAAGGCACTTGAGTGACTATCTGGCCCGAAGGTTCGGACAGTTGTGTCTAGCAAAATAGGACCATAGGGCACACTACGACAGAATGAGTATTGGAAGAAGGCAAATCTAAATTTTACATGAAAGCGCGAGAGCCAAAATAAGTCAAAAAGCCGAGTTGACAGGTTTAGGAAGCCAAAACGGAGCTCGGACTGTCTGAACCAGCCAGTAAAATAATAAAGCTTGGAGTCGGGCTATCCATTGGGAACACCATCGGGAGTTGCGACAGACAGGGGCACAAACACCGGTGGCCGAAGAAATGACACAGTCGACATTTATTCCGTGTATCGATAAAATTTCGCTCTCAAATAATTATTTGTTTGCTGAAGTTTCTTTTTTTTACTTGTTTGATTTTTTTTCCACGCAGTGATGGTAAACATGGAGTTGGAGCTTAGGCCCCAGTGGGCCCGACACTATGCCTCGAACATCGAAAGCTCTAATACTATACCTTGGAACTTACGGACCTGCTACAGGCAACACCCAATAGGGCGCCGGATCAGGCACAGGCTACAGGTCCGCTTCGTAAGCACTCAGACTGAGGCTTTAGATATGGGTTCCGGTCCTTGCCCCAGAGCAGAGTGCAGTGTTGCAACCCCGATCATTATTGACTAAATGGAATGACATTCTTGTTTCCACCTATTCTTACTACATTGTCTTGTTTCTAGTCTTGTTGTTGAGCTAACGCATCGGTGGTTCTGCAGGTTCCAGAAGCCTGGAACTAGCCCTCCCACAGGTGACAGACGTGGGGTGGACATAGGGTTAGATCCGCAGGCCACCAGACTCCATGATCCACTGGTCGACAACGAAAATCTCTGGCCACAAGGTCGGGTGTCTGTGGTCCACTGCCTGTTGTTTGTGCAGAGGCGGCATGGTCCAGCAGCGTCCGACGGGAAAAGGCATCACGCTGGCCACGAGAAAAATAAAAGGGGGACCTCCGCATTTGAAATTCGAATTTTGAATGACGGTTGCGACGACGACAACGACATTCAGTTGGCGGTACGAACACGGTACAATGATGAACCGGGCTCGGCGACGCCGTCCTTTCCGCCCACCTCCCGCTATGAGTGCATGCGTGCGCCGAGTGCGTCAATTGCCGTTGACTTTCTTCCACATTGTCTTCGTCATCATACACATTTCTGCCGGGAGGACGACATCCAAAGAAAGGCGGCAACTTCATCGGACATCTTTAGCTTGTTGGTTGGCTGGGGAAGAAAACACATACGATAGTGGAGAGACGTCGTCCGTGAGGAGCTCGCGGCTATGGAGGGCAGCGGAGAGGGTGAACGTGCGTTGTTGACACTGCTTGAGTGATGGCCGTGGTGGCGGCGGTGTCGATCGTTGTTCTTCGTTGTTAGCAGGAAAGGGCGTTGGGACGAATGAAGGAGCAATTGCGTGCGAGTAGAAGAAGGACATTACTATGTGGCGACCTCGGAGGTAGTCATTCAATTGTGCTATGCATTGGGTTGCAGGGTCATTCTGCGAGCGATGCCGAACACCACTCAATCGTGTCTCTGACCGACCAAAACTTTTTGGCGCCCTCGCCATCGTTCTCACACATGTCGTCGTCTGTTTTCTTATTCCATCGATTCCTCTGCATGAAACCCTTCCTCTCACTCTCGTGACCGCTCACGACCTTCCTCCCAAAGGGTCGGATCTCCGACAATTCCTCGGAGTTGTAATCGTCGTCACCCTCAATGTCGTCACAGTCGTACGACTCCTGAATTGTCGCGTCATCGCCTTCGTTGACGTGGAGCCATTGCACCCCCTTCATTATGACCTCCATTCCAGCTTGCCGCACGACCTGCCCGCACTCCGCCCACATGTGCGGGCCCGTGCGTTCGACGTGCGCACCCGTCGAGGAGGCGTCCTTCTGTCGCTCTCCTACACGTGGAGTCTCGGATCCGCTTCTCGACGCAGGGGATGGTCGCATCCATTCCGGACGATGACCTACGCTACCTTCTCCCCCGACCTTCCTCGACGAAACATATCGATTCATGCCGTCGTCGCAAAACGGTTGTGGTTCTCCCCCGTCTCACGTTCCTCGAGACCAACACATGTCTGCTCCGCACAATCCTCATCAGGGTGGGGATTGATGAAGCACTTGTGTGTCGCCGTTGCTCCCCTGCTGCTCGACGACTGGAAGCTTAAATCGAGTTGTGCATTGGCATCGTCGTCGCACAACCCCTCGTTCAACATTGACGTGTAAGACCACGGGGTCTCCACCCGCCTGCCACCGAAGGATTGATTCCCCGCCCAATCCTGCGTGGAACCACTCCCCAACGACACAACGGATGACCTGACGTCTTCACGCTTGTCATCCGTCGGTGGCAGAGGAATCTCATGGAAAGGCAGGTGAGCATACAACATCGGGTCGTATGCTTGCTTGCCCGCAGACCCTGTAGTGTTGTACAATCCTGGTGTCGTGCCTGCCAGTCTGTCGTTCGTTAGTCGTCGCTCCATCCTGTCGCCCTTCTTCGACGACCTTCTTTTGCGCGTCACGCCAGGCAACCGGCCTAGGAAACACACGTGGAAGAAGACGACGATCACAAGCAGCACGACGATGAGGAGCAGTAGAGGCAGCTTGTGCTGCAAGTCGGCCATGAACGGGGTGCGAAAAGGGCAACAACGCGAGGGCAATGGTCGGTCGTCCACCAAACAACGACGTGGAGGGCAGCAAAGACGGGAGTGTACTTCGTGCAGCATGTGATGACAATTGACGAAAATGACGATTGTTAAAAAAACACTTCCATCGTGGAAGCACTCGCCGCCGCAAACAAGTATTCAAATTTTTGACTGTTATCGATGATCCCCCAACGCAGCAGACCGCATGATACTGGATGGCGACGACGAAACCAGCCAACGGAGGCCCTGTGTAGACGCTGACCGTTTGGGGCCGTTAGGGCACCGTCGCGACGGTGGAGGGCAGGGATGTCCGTGCTGCCGTTGGGTGAGCCACGTGTGGACCACCGTGAAACCGAAACTCTGTGTACACATGCCTTCGGCACTATCACGCTTCCTCCTGAAAACGAAACTCTGCGTCTACACATGCCTTTGGCGCTATCGCGCTTCCTTGTGCTCCGAGGGACCTCCTGAGCCCACCCAAGGAACTTGCGAGCCCACCCAAGGAACTTGTCTACACATGCCTTTGGCAC